CCTTCTTGGAAGTCACCCAAAGTTCACTGGTTCACTCAAGTTTATTGGCGCTGCCCAATGGAAAGCACCACACTTGCCCATTAGGGGGCACCTGAAGCTCACAGTCTATAATAAGACATCCAGTGTTGAAGCAATCATTGATACAATCACCATATTGATTAATATATTGATTATAGTTATAACCATACCTCATATTTATGAATAAAATATCACAATAGCCTGTTGGCATCGCCAGCGTGGTTGCCGCTAATCTCGCTTACATTACTAATACTCTATTTACACACATTACCATTGTTTTACTCACTGTTACTTGCTTTAATGGCGTATGTCTGTCTACCTTTGAGTGCAGGTGAGGACACGTTCGATCTGCATTCGGTGAGGCAGAACCAGCCGAGAGAGCGGAGAGCCGCGCTGGAAACATCCCGGGCTGACACTCACAAGTCCAGGTAAATGTACAATGCGCTGCTAACTCTCCCACCACCTCTACTCCATGTGTTTCTCTGCACAGGCCCGGTGCACCCAGGATGCGATCTTCCCAGATGTCCTTCACTCCGGCGCCGGGACACCACGGACCCTGGGTGCACCCGCAGTGAAAGCCGCGAGCCAGGCCCCGGGTGACGATCTCTCCCACTCCGCCGCCTCCGGTCTTCGAGATCTCCACCCGGAACCACTTCGCTCCCCTCCGCGAGATGGAACGCGACGCTGTGATCGTCGGAGACTCCATCGTCCGGCACGTCCGTCCTACATTAGCTGAAGGTAAATTGCACACTCACTGTTTCCCTGGTGCTCGTGTTCTCAATGTTTCTACGCAGATACGCGCGATCTGCCCTGATGACTTTTGTTCTACCTGCTTAAATGATAGAAGTACTTGCGCTGTACAATCTATAAAGACTGTGTCTGTTCCCCCAATAGTGAGGTCAAAATATAAATTTAATGCAGGCTCTAGAACAAATCTGATCATGATTCAAAGAAGAAAAATTTAAAATAAATGAACAAAAACAATTTTTAAAGTTTGGGCTCCTAAACATTAGATCACTCTCACCCAAAGCAGTTATTGTAAATGAAAAAATGAAATGTAATAGTTTTGATGTACGCTGCTTGACTGAAACCTGGCTAAAACCAAATGATTATATTGGTCTAAATGTGTAAATGTGTCCAAGCTACTGTTATAAGCATGAGCCCCGTCAGACTGGTCGTCTGGTCGCAACAATATATAGTGATATTCTCAATGTTACTCAGAAGACAGGATACAGGTTTAACTCATTTGAAATACTAACATGAGGATGAGGAATAGCCAGCATGGTTAGGGGAATATAATTTTGATTAACGTTCATTTGTGTTTAAGAGAGAGTTCATCCAAAAAGAAAATGCTGCCATTGTTTACGCATGTCGTTCCAAACATGTTTGACCTTTCTTTGGTCCATAAAATCAAAGTCAGTGTGGATCTATGTAAACATTATACATAAAATACAATTTGAAATTAACATTGATCAATGCACATACTGTATGTATGATGAATAGGAAGCTCAAACGTGCTTGATGCTCCCCCTGAGCTGCAGAGGACATCAGTTGTGACATCCTAATATATATATATATATATATATGTATACACATATACACACACATATATATATATATATATATATATACAGTATATATATATTTGTACAAATACTTTATATCCTGCTTGCATATCCACATTGTTTCGACCTATTTGTGTTTTGTTGTTTTTATTGCATTTTCCAGCTTCTTTGAGTAGTTTGAGGAGTTCTGCCACCTTGTGGACCCAGCAATTTGTGCAGTCAGCTCCGGGCACAACCACAAATTACACAGTTTATTAACATGATTATTTTTTAATGTATAAAATAATGAGAAAGGAAAATACAACAACTAGTGCAAAGGACAAGAAAAATCATGGTCCTATACATTGTTTTGAGTAGGTAAGTTTTATTTATTTATTTATTTTGAAATATTTTAATATTGTTATGCAACTGGACACGCTAAATTGATGAAAACAGTATGTCCAGCTATAGACAGGCTCTAAAAACTGCTAGGGCCGAGCATATCCACAAACTCATAGAAAATAACCAAAACAATCCTAGGTTTTTATTTAGCACAGTGGCTAGATTAACAAATAACCAGACGCCACCCGATCTAAATATTCCCTCACAGTTTAATAGTAATGACTTTATGAATTTCTTCAATGATAAAATAGATAACATCAGAAATACAATAGCAAATGTAGATTCTACAGCGTATAATACTTCAGCTTCATTCATCGCACCAAAAACTAAATAAACTGCAGTGCTTTACAGCTATAGGACAAGAAGAGCTAAATAAACTTATCACTGCATCTAAACCAACAACATGCCTGTTAGATCCTGTACCCACTAAATTACTGAAAGAGTTGTTACCTGTAGCAGAAGAACCGCTTCTCAATATTATTAACTCGTCGTTGTCTTTAGGTCACGTCCCAAAACCATTCAAGCTGGCGGTCATTAAGACTCTTATTAAGAAACCACAACTAGATCCTAGTGAACTGGCAAATTACAGACCCATTTAAAATCTTCCTTTTATGTCAAAAATTTTGGAAAAAGTTGTGTCTGCTCAATTCTGCTCCTTCCTGCTAAAAAATTCTCTATGAAGAATTTTAGAGATCAGGTTTCAGGCCCCACCATAGCACAGAAACTGCACTTGTTAAAATTACAAATGACTTGCTTCTTGCGTCAGACCAAGGCTGTATCTCATTGCTAGTTTTACTTGATTTTAGTGTTGTGTTCGACACTACAGATCATGACATACTCATAGATCGATTACAAAACTACACAGGTATTCAAGGGCAGGCTTTAAGATGGTTTAGATCCTACCTGTCCGATCGCTACCACCTTGTTCATTTAAATGGGGAGTCATCTCAATTATCACCAGTAAAATATGGAGTGCCACAAGGATCTGTCCTAGGTCCTCTGCTATTTTCAATATACATGTTGCCCCTTGGTAATATTATTAGGAAATACGGGATTAGTTTCCACTGTTATGCTGATGATACTCAACTATATATCTCAACAAGACTAGATGAAACTTCTAAATTATCTAAGCTAACAGAGTGTTAAAAATTGTAAAGATTGGATGACAAATAATTTTCTCCTATTGAATTTGGATGACAGAGATATTACTTATTGGACCAAAAGACAGTAAACAGAATCTCTTGGATTACAATTTGCAACTAGACGGATATACTGTTACTTCCACTACAGTCAAAAATCTGGGTGTTATATTAGATAGCAATTTGTCTTTTGAAAATCATATTTACCATTCATCGTCTGTTTGATTACGTCTTTCATTGATTTTTCCATAAAATCAAGGTGGGGGAGGTTGTGTTTGTGGAACGATGTATGTTATAATACATCGTTTACACTCACTAAACAAAGAGTGACAGAGACCAATTTATAAAAGAACAATATTTAAAAGCACACGTCCAGTTTTGTGTGAGTGAAGGAAATCCGTTTGGGAGTGCTCAAGTCGTCCTCACGCACATGGATCGCGTAACATTATGCGCTCTCGACATTGTCATTAAGATCACACTATAGAAACCTCCTCAAATTAAGTATAAATAAGAGAAGAAAGCGACCCTAGGCAGCTGCCTACACATGCCAGGATCCGTTAGAAATTTACAAAAAGCAAGCCTACCGCAAGACATCTGGTAGGGGAGGCACCTGGGGTGGCCAGCCAAATTTCAGGGGGGGCAGTGCCACCCCTGGCCACCACGTAGACACCCTGGTCACCACTGATAAGCTACCACTAAATATTGTAGAAACTTAATTTGCTGTAAAGTTGCTTTGCAACGATTTGTATCATGAAAAGCGCTATACAAATAAACTTGAATTGAATTGAATTGAATTTCGATACACACGCTAAGGAAGGATGAATTATGATGAATGGGAATATACTCTACAGTTCCTCAGACAAAACAAAAAGCAAAAAACACATCTCACTGGATCTCACATGATCTCTTTGCCATCACTGCTTCAGATAAAGCAGAAGACAAATTGCCGCAACCTTGATCTATTTTTAAATATATATTAACCTTAAGCAAGCTCAAGCAAACAGCTGTAAAGGGTGAGACAATTTCCAGAGCTTATAAGTGTGCTGGCTTCTTGGGTTTCTTGAGTAAGCCCTCTGTCATTCCATGAACATTCTCACTTCTGCCAAAAGCAGATTCAGGGTCTTGAAGGAAAATTCAATACAATTAAATGCATCTCAATTTAACCCCTCGCTAAAGGACAAAGTCGTGTCAACATTTTACCTCATATCACATTCACCATTTGTGTCTCTATTACTCAGAGACCTGCACCACTCTTTTGCCATGTAAACGTCCATGTTCATTTCCAGTCTGTAAGGAACGTGCATGCTGATTTACTGTAAGATAAAAAGAGAATGAAAGGATGGGCGCACACATACAACAAACTAACAGGGGATGAACTTTAGACAAACCAAACATTTCACACAAACAGATCAAATGTCCACACAACAGGGCCCGGCTCCGTCACCACCGGCTTCGCAACCCTGTAATGACAGACACAGAGAGCTACGGAGCCCCTAATGGGACATGGCAGTGGAAAAAATTAGGATGGGAGGAAAAATAAATTTTTCAGAGCTTTTGCATCTTACAAAACTTTTGCATTCCCTAAAAAACCTGTTGAGTTTGGACAAACATTCTTGTTTACTTTACAACTTGCAGTGGTTCAGACAGCTCTGTACATTCACAAAGGATCAGTTCATAGAGTTTTATTTTGAAATTGAGCTCAAGTATAAATACATTTAGTTAGTTATTTAGTTCAAGGCACAGATTTGGGACATTCTAAAATGCTTAACGTGAAAAACGCTTAATGTAGTAAAACAGTGACATTGGAGGGCCAAATTCAGTCGAATTCTTATTAAAGCATTCTTTTTACAGACAAGCAGAATAGCCCAGCATATGAAATTGCACCTTGAGCATTTTCTCCCCCACAGAAAAACGCTTTAACTTGAAACTTTGCGTGTTCCATTCATATTCTGGTCTCATCTGCTTTCCTGTGTGTAGTATATTTTATTAATAAACTGTATACCAGATTTGCTGTCTGAGCTGTTGGAACCACTGCAAGGTGTAAAGTAAACAGCAAGTGTTTGTCATAACTTAACAGGTTTTGCCAGAGAACACAAAAGTTTTGCAAGAGGAATTTTTTTCAACTCCATGTCCCTTTAGGGGCTCCATAGGGAGTCATATCAGACCTGTTAGTTCATATTTGGTTTGAGTTGCCAGTTCGGTCAACAAACTCATGCGGTGAAAACAGTTTCAGCCATGCACAGAGCACAGCCTTCTTTGATATGACTTATTAATAAAAATGCATGAGCTGCAAAAGTGCAGCAACTGTACACCAGAAGCATGCAGAGCACAGCTAAACCAGAGCCAAGCAACAGGCTTAGCTATTAAATACCCTGTCTGTACAAACTATATAAGGAATGCCTGATCACACACAAATCTATGTGATGCTTTTTAACTACACTTCACCACATTCCAATAGTGATGGCAAGTTTATGCTTGATATTCATGAGGATGTTAAGCACTCAACTGTACACGTATACAGTCATGGCCAAAAGTTTTGGCAGTGACATAAATTTTGTGTTTTGCAAAGTTTGCTGCTTAAGCTGTTGTGGTGTTCATTCACATTGTTTCTAGATTATTGTGTAGAGTGATCAGATGTATTTAAAATAATTGCTGAAAGCTTCATTGGTCAAAAAATGAACTTTTCACAAAAAAACAATTTTCATTGTTTTTTGATCCTGACAAAATGATCAGCTAACATTAATTGACTAATCATATCAGCAGCACGTGAAAGTGTGAATGAGTACTAGTCAGTTAAAATCACTATAATACTAATTAGATTGTAAGAGCAGACTGATTGCTATAAAAGGAGAGAAGAAGCGCTTCCAATCATTGTGTTTTTGTTAGCAATGGTTACCTCCAAAGAAACACGTGCAGCCATCATCGCTTTGCATCAAAATGGCCTCACATGCAAGGAAAGTACTACAAAGAATATTGCACCTGAAAGAACCATTTACCGGATCATCAAGAACTTCAAGGAGAGAGGTTCGACTGCAGTGAAGAAGTCTTCAGGACGTCCCAGAGTGTCCA